GGTCATGAGTTCGAGACCAACCTGGCAAACATGGTGAAACCCCGTCTCTACTAAAAATACAAAATTAGCTGGGCATGGTGATGCGTGCCTGTAATCCCAGCTACTTGGGAGGCTGAGGCAGGAGAATTGCTTGAACCTGGGAAGTGGAAGTTGCAGTGAGCCAAGATCATGCCACTGCACTCCAGCCTGGGCAACAAGAGCAAAACTCTGTCTCAAAAACAAGTTAGTTTAATAACATGAAATAACTTTTTAAACCGTTAAGAGCTGTACTACTAGTAATTACTCTTCCAGACAGTGGCTCCACCTCATCTCCTATATCCCCTGTATTACCCTCTCTTAAAAGCCAAAATTAAGTAAGCATGGTGGCTCATGCCTATAATCTTAGTATTTTTGGAAGCTGACATGAGCCAAGGAGTTTGACACCAGCCTAGGCAACATAGTGACACCCCACCTCCACAAAAATATTTTATATTAGCCAGGCATAGTGGCATGTGCCTGAATCCCAGCTCCTCGGGAGGCTGAGGTGGGAGGATTATTTGAGCCCAGGATGTTGAGGCTGCAGTGAGCTATGATCACACCACTGCACTCCAGCCTGGTCAACAGAGCAAGATCCTGTCTCGAATAAATAAATAAATGAATAAATCGAAGGAAAAGCACCAATACTGTAACTGCCTCTGTCCCCAGGTGGGGGCTCCTCAAGGGCCCTCTTCAAGGGCCCTCCCCAGGAAGTGTTCCTCTGGATGACCTACCTGGGGCAGAGGAGCCAGAATATGGAGAAGATGGCTGTGGTGGGGAGAGATTTAGTCCTGTGTCTTCCCCACCCAGTGCAGTCCCTGGAAGAAGAATGCCTGCTGCACGGCCAACACCAGCCAGGAGCTGCACAAGGACACCTCCCGCCTGTACAACTTTAACTGGGACCACTGTGGTAAGATGGAGCCCGCCTGCAAGCGTCACTTTATCCAGGATGCCTGTCTCTATGAGTGCTCACCCAACCTGGGGCCCTGGATCTGGCAGGTATGCGTGCCATTCCCATAAACATGAGCCTCAGCAGAGAGCAGAGCCTGCCAGCCACTTGCAGGGAGGGCTTGGTCCAGGAATTCGGGTCTGAGGGTGGTGGATGCCCTGCCCCCTCCCACAGCTCTGGTCCCCTTCGAGGATAAAGCTGCTGAGATATGTGGCTGACAGGAGCGTTCCGTCTCCTCCCCACTCAGGTCAACCAGAGCTGGCGCAAAGAGCGCATCCTGAATGTGCCCCTGTGCAAAGAGGACTGTGAGCGATGGTGGGAGGACTGTCGCACCTCCTACACCTGCAAAAGCAACTGGCACAAAGGCTGGAATTGGACCTCAGGTGAGGGCCGGGAGGAGACGAGATGAGGAGTGGGAGTGGGGCTTTAGGGTTGGGAGGGGTGCAGTCTGGCCCAGAAGCTCAGGGTCTTATGTTCTCCTCCCTCAGGGATTAATGAGTGTCCGGCTCGGGCCCTCTGCCGCACCTTTGAGTCCTACTTCCCCACTCCAGCCGCCCTTTGTGAAGGCCTCTGGAGCCACTCCTTCAAGGTCAGTAACTACAGTGGAGGGAGCGGCCGCTGCATCCAGATGTGGTTTGACTCAGCCCAGGGCAACGCCAATGAGGAGGTGGCCAAGTTCTATGCTGCGACCATGAATGCTGGGGCCCCGTCCCATGGGATTATTGGTTCCTGATCCAAGAAGGGTCCTCTGGGGTTCTTCCGACAACCTATTCTACTAGACAAATCCACATGTGTCTTGTGTCTTGTAATCTGGGGACGAGTGGGTTGGAGGGACACATTGCTTCATCTTTTCCATTGACAGGCCCCAAATCGGGCTGGAACTAGCCTGATGTTCACTGGGAAGCAGGGTGTGGAGGTTGAGCTAGAATCCAGGTATCTGATCCCTTAGTTTGGGTCTCTTATCCCTGCACTGGCTTCCCCCTCACGCCAAGCTCATCCCACCAGCACTACACATGGAGAAAGACACAGATAGAGGGAAGAAGGTCAGAGTTAGCTGATGAGTTATTGGGATTCAAGTTGGGAAGAGAGTTTCTTTTCCCTTCTCTCACTAGATACGGGCTGGATGGAGATGTTGGTGGGGAGGAGAATCTCAGTGATGAACATTTACCTTGTTTCTATCTATTTATTTCTTTACTTATTTGAGACAGGAATCTTGCTGTGTTGCCTAGGCTGGTCTTGAACTCCTGGGCCCAGACAATACTCCCTCCTTGGTGTTCCAGAGTGCTGGGATTATAGGCATGAGTCACTGTGCCTGACCTGCTTTTTTAAAAAACAATGACAACTAATGTTGCAATTAACAATCTTTTACCTAGTGGAATGTTACATTTAAATTCCAGAAAAGATTATTGGGTCAAGAGTACATATAATTTTGAGAGTTACAACTTTATGGAGGTTGTATCAATGTGGCTCCCCCACCAGCAAAGTATGAGAGTGCCTCTTTCTCCACTGGGTGTGATGGCTCATGCCTGTGATCTCAGCACTTTGAGATGCTGAGGCAGGAGAATCTCCTGAACCCAGGAGTTCAAGATCAGCCTGGGCAACATGGTGAAACCCCATCTCCACAAAAAACTAAAAAAATCAGCTGGGCATGGTGGTGTGTACCTGTAGTCCCAACTACTAGGGAGGCTGAGGTGAGAGAATCGCTTCAGCCCCAGCAGGTTGAGGTTACAGTAAGCTATGATCATGCCACTGCACTCCAGCCCAGGTGACAGGGCAAGAACCTGTTTCAAAAAAAAAAAAAAGAGAGAGAGAGAGACTGCCTGTTTCTCCACAACCCTGTCAACCCACTATGCCATCAAACTTTGATTTTCTACTCATCTTACAGGTGGGGAAAGGGCAGCTCAGTGCAGTTTTCATCTGCCATTGTTCTGAGATCTTTCCATGTTGACCTACTGAGATGTTAAATTACTGGGTAATAATCCATTCTGTGTATACATCACACTGAATTCAGTCTCCTACTGACGGGCATTGGAAGGAATGGGGTTCTTTTATGATCTTGACATTGCTGAAAGCCACAAGCCAGTTATTTGGTAGAATACTCCTCCATTTGGGTTTGTCTGTTTCCTCATGATTCATTGAGGTTATGCATTTTGGGCACGAATACCCTACATGGTTGTCCCGTGCATCATAACAGGAGGCACGTGGTGAAGGGTTTGCCTATTCCTGGTGACGTTAACTTTGATCTTTTGGTTGAGATCGTGTCTGCCACATTTCTCCACTACACTTTCCCCTTTGTAACTAGTAAACATGTTGTAGGGAGAGACTGGAGAACTAGAGATACTCTGTTCATCAGCACACTTCCACCGACATATTCTAGTACCTGATGGACCTTTTTTTAAAGAGGGAAAACAAAAGCTAAACATGTCTTACTATGTTACAGCTCTTTCACCAACCCTTCAATACTTTTCAGTGGTATCAACTGTAAAAACCAAACTTCTTCAAAATAGCGCAGAAGACTGTGCCCCTCCTCTGAGCCCTCAAGCCAAATCTCTCCCACACCACCCCCACAAATGAGCTTCAGTCGCACTTCTCATGTTGGGGGTCTTTGCTCCAGCAACTCTTTCTCTGCATGCCTGAAACGTTCTTTAATCCTCTGCAGTCTAGCACTTTGTGGCCACTTAGATCACAACCTACAATTCCCCCCAAAAATGACTTCTTACCACTCAACCTAACAAAGCCACTCAGCTGATTTCTCATCACACTATTCTGTGTCCTTGTGCAGATTTTTGTCTACTGTGTTTGTTGTCTGCCTTTTCCCTAACAAAACATACTCTCCTGAAAGCAGGGTTTTGTCTATGTCATTTTAAGCTACATCCCCAGGGTCTGGGTCAGTGCCTGGCACCGAGAATGTGCTCAGTAAGTTAAGGAATCGCTGCATCCATTCTGTCAGTCAACAAGTCCTTCTGAGCATCCTGTCCACTGGCCCATGCTGGTCTCAGCTGACAGGAAGGGAACTGAGTTCCTTGCAAGGTCTGGCGGCGACAGACAGTTCTGAGAACCAGTGACTCTTAGAACAAGGAGACGAGGCTTTCACAGAGGGAAGCACAGAGTGTGGTGTTGTTCTGCTGAAGCCCAAAGAGGTCAGGGAAGGCTTCCAAAGGAATAATGTTTGCCAAGCACAAAACAGCACGGGGAATGGCATTCCATGGACAGGTCTCAGCAAGTGCAAAGGCTTAGAGGTAATAGAAGTGCAAGCAGAATTCCAGGGTGGCTGAGATAGGAGTTATGAGGGGAGTGGGCAGCAGTTAAGGCCAAAGAAGAAACACTGGATCTGCATTCCTTAGGACGGTGCCCTGTGGGCCCCTCACAAAGCTTCTCTCCTGCAACTGCTAGGTGCAAGAAGTCAGACTTAGAATCAGACTGAGATCAGTAGTTCCTGCAGCTGGGAAGATGAGTGATGTGAGATTGCATGTGTGATAGGCTGGCACTCAGGGAAGAACTCAGGGTTCTCTCCTCCCCAGTCTGAGGCCCCTCTCCTGCTTCCTGAAGCCCAGAGTCTCCACCTGGGTGAGTCAAACACCTTCCTGTTATCTGCCTGGTCCTAGGGCAATCTTTGGGTTGGGGTTAGAAGGCATGCCAATGGTTAACCTTGTGGTATTAAGCGTCCAGCTCAGGCAGATACTGTCTGGACTGGTCCAAGCTGACTGCCTGACTGCCCCTCCCTGCTGGTCCTAGCACCCAGACTCCAGATAGGAACACCACCTCCTTCAGAGCAGGGCTCTGAGACTCCACAAATGGTGAGGACTTACCAGAGGAACTGAACTTAACCTCCAACCCAACCTTCCACTTGCTGGTATTATTCTGAAGCCCTCATGGCCCGGGGGCCTGGCTCAGGGGGCAGGTCTCACTCCTGCAGTGGAGGGGGCATAAAGTTCAGTTCATGATCAGCCCCCCAGGCCAAGGGCAGCAGATGAGAGGGCAGGAGCTCCATCTAGAGGAGCTCCCATGTTCAGGTGTTCCTAGACACCTGCCTGCCCTTCTCCAATCAGCACTGGGGTATAAAGAAGGAAAGAGGCCTGAGGGTTCCAGAGGCCTCTACCTGCTGGGGTCTTCAGAGGACTCAACCCTCTGGGAAATACAAATACAATCCTCAGCCCTCCAAACAACTGAATGGACACCTCTTGGCCAAAGAGACCTCGGAGAAACTTTAAAATCTAAGTTTCCTGGCCATGATGATAAGTCACTCATACCTCAGTACACTTGCTTCCTCATGAACCGTTACCAGGCTTCTTTCCCAAGACCTAAATAGAAACCAGCCCTGGAAAACCAAGAACAGGAGACTCCTTCACCGATTTCAACTTCAACCAACTGCCAGACTCCTTTCCCTTTCCCGATTTTGACATGACAGCTGATCAGCTTACAAAACATTCCTGGCTGATCAATGACTCTCGACCATGGACCAGTTCTGGCTGGTTTACAGAGGCAGCACACAAAGTTCTTTGGGTCCTATGTTTCACCTTTTGACATATAGAGCCTAATTCGACCACATTTTAATGTCTCCACCCCGAAGAGAATATGGGACATATTTAACATGTTTTTTGGTACACATGTGTGCAACTCTCATGAATATTCAGAAATCATCTTAAAACTTATTAAATATGTATGTTTAGCCAACTCATTTAGTGTAAAACCCCTGTCCTACCCTCACTTCAATTCCTAGCTTGTAGGTTGCAACCCGACAAAAGAAATAAAGCTCTCCCTTCCAATTGTACAGATCTTGTGATTGTAAGCCAACATAACTGAAGACAAGAGTAGGATCCATGGAGCAGCTCAGGTTCCCCCCAGCGTGAGTGAATGCACTGGTGCCAGGCAGAGCCATTGACAGCTCAGTTGTTTCCCTGTCAGCTTTTGGAGGAAGGTGGGTAAGCTCTCCCCGATCTAAGATCTCCCATTTTTGAATTGAGATCTCCAGGACTTCATTTTTTCACCCTGATTTCCTCCATCCAGACCCTGCAAAGGCCATCTTTTTTGGCCCCAGGTTTCTAGTTGGGGAGGTTGGGGGCAGTTCAGCCTGACTCATCTGGCCTATCAGGTTTGGTGAGGATGCTTGCCCTCTAGTGGCACACAAAGGAATGTCTTATGCTCTTCTGGGGAACCTAGATTCTAAAGAGACAGTCCCAGACCAGCTGCCATCAGGAACCTACATGTTTCAGAATTATAAGAAAAAGTCTTGTGGATATTTTGGATCCTGGAAAAAAGCTAATTTGGAACAATATGAAGATTTATAGGCCAAAATGGAGAACTTTTGACAGAACATTTGACATGCCTAAATTAGTTTATTTGCATGCACAGTAGGGTTCAGGACCTCTCAGAAGCAATGGGAGGCCTTTTTTTTTTTTTTTTTTGAGACAGAGTCTCACTTTGTCATGGGGAGTGGAGTGGAGTGGCACGATCACGGCTCACTGCAGCCTCGACCTCCCGGACTCAACCATCCTCCCACCTCTGCCTCTCAAGTAACTGGGACTACAGGCATGCACCACCACACCCTGCTAATTTCTTTATTTTCATTTTTAAATTTTTTATAGAGATGGGGTTCACCATGTTCCCCAAGCTGATCTCAAATTCCTGGAGTCAAGGAATCCTCCCATGGGAGACCATTTTTAAGTGGTATTATGAGAGCTCTAAACACAGTCAGGCGTCTCAGATAACCTCCTTAAATGAGACTAATTCAAAACTGAAGGAGTCTAATTCAAAACCTGACCAGCATATTCAAACCTATCTGCCACTATTGGAC